AAGAAGAAGAAGAAGAAGAAGAAGAAGAAGAAGAAGAAGAAGAAGAACAGAAGAAGAACAGCAGCAGCAGCAGCAGCAGCAACAGCCAAGCTCCAGGCAACCTGCCGACCTCCCGAAAGTCGACCACTTCGGCTTACGCCATAACGCAGCGAAGAGATACTCTTCATATTGCGGTGGAAGTGCATTGTCTTATATCTATATTTTTACAATTCAATTAAGAATTATGCAGCACGCAATAATGCATATACAAAATATGTGCACAAAAGCTGTAATAGAACTTTCATATACATGTGTGCACAAAACAGACGACATTATCATGCAAATCAACAGTACCATCTAATAATGTAAACTGAAAAAACAAACAATTATGAGATCGTATTAAGAAAGCTTTCATACAAAGCTTTTATACAAAGCTTTTATACAGAACAGAGGCATATAGAAAAGATTTTACAGAACAATCTGTGTCACATTTAAAAATCTACAGGTACTCTCTGTTACAATCTCTGTTATATCGTCTGTTATTTCATGAAAATTAAAATATAAAAGCACTATTATGATTTATTACAATATATATATAAAAAATAACGTTTATAAAACAAATCTTTTTTTCAAGAACAAATGCTAAATGCGTTTGAAGAGTATATATGTATATATTTAAATTGCTTGGTTGCAAACGAATTACCAAACCATTTATTCATGCTTTCCACTTTATTAAAAAGAAGTATTGTTTTATTATTATTAGTTTTTTGATTATAGTAGTACATACTTATATGATATAAATATAAATAAATGTATCTGGTTAAATAAAAATTTAAATTAGAGAACAAAATCAATAAAGATTGGCTTTCTATTCTCTATACACATTATAAATATATGTTTGACATAATCGCAGTAAGAAGTCAGAAAATTCAAGAGAAAAAAAATTAAACCATCAAAAATTTTATCTTTGCGATGCTCCATAAAAAATTTGCGTACCTGCTCAATATCGTTTCTATCTGCGATAATGTATTTCTCTAGGTTTCATGCAATTAATTTGATGATGAGCGACAATTTTGTGAGGAAAAACCGGATGCAAGACAAAGGCTTTCAAAAAGAAGAACACACCATGTGTATATATATCGGTGGTTTTCACTGTAACTGGTTCGCAAAATTACTCTTAGCCAAGACAAATCGTTACGATGCCGAAATGATTATTCGGAGTTTGATTGGATTTTCGTAACATGGTAGTTTTGGAATCATAGATTATATAGATAGTTAAAGCCGACTTTTTCTTTAAGACTTTAATAATAAATAAAGGGTGATTTCGTTTTGTCTACATATTGGTGTTGCTTCGTGGACCATAAAATAATGAAAAAAAAAAAAAAAGTTAATAACCGCAACTGAAAGCTACTCTGTTTTATACTATCACCTATCAAAGCTTGTCTCCTCATAGGTATACGTCATAGTCTATAGAAATTATATTAAAAAAAATTTGAAATTAATTGTGGTAATGATATTAATGAGCGCATATGCTCTCAGTAACAGAGTCCGTTCGATTCCAAGAACGCGTGAGCACCCTTTTCTGTTTCTGTGTGTACACGCCGCTTATTAGTAAAGACACTCACATGTCGCTCAATTAATTTGAGCCCAATTATTCGAAACCAATCGTCAGAACAATATATAAATTTGCAGATGCTTGCGCTGATTAGTTTCATTTCATCTAAAGTCCCCCGAACGCGTGCTACGATTCGTTTGAATAGTTTTTAAGCAATAAATTTCATTTTTTAATTTTTCAAATTGTTTTCCGGCTAAAAGCGGAAAGTAATGGAGCTGAACAACGTTATTACTATACCGGATATGCAGGTTAAAAGAATAACTTTAAACGATTATTAAATTATTGCTCCTGTACAGCGTAACGGCGAAAGAATTCATTAATAATTTTTCTTAGAAAAGCAACATCTTTTTATTAATGTAATATAAAAAAACGATTTGAAGAAAACGACATTTTATAAGGAATCGTTTATATTGCGATGTGATTTCATCACGATTACTTTGCTTTTATAAGAATATTTGGCGAGTTGTATTAAAATTCACTTTTTTTTTCCGGACTGATTCGGGATCACGCTTTACTAGGGTCTTTAAAAAATCAGAGAGAAGCGCGGCGAATAGAGAGTTTTCTCTTGAAAGCTAAGCATAAAATGTAAGATGGAGAGTTACCGTAACCGTACCGTGATTGTGACCTTGAATTAACAAAAAGATATAATATACTCGAAAAGCTGCTAAATAAACTACTGAATGCAGTTCCCATCGATAACTGCATGTTACTGGTTTTGTGATGTGTTTTGCCATCGATCAAGAAAGCCTCGATTGAACATTGGTTATAACAATGGAAAAGAATTAAAGAAAAAGTATAAAAAAAACTAGTAAGGAAATTATATTCAGGAGAGGATGAACTTCGCATATGCGCCTCTATTAAAATTTTATTTTTATCATATTGTATTGTACCCCAAGTGCTTTCATTTGACATCCACACCGAAGTTATTTTTATGAAAAGATTTATCCACTAAAGTGTGACGTCGTCTGCCACAATTATTATAGAATTAACGCACTTGGCTTGTCGCTTTCCACTCTTCTAGTCATTTCATGTGATACCGATGCCGCTAGCGTTGTTAAGCAAAAATTAAGCCACCAGGTCGCGGTGCCCACCATATTTATTTTAGAATTAATACATTTTTGGGGAATGTCGTGAAAAAAGGAAAATTTTATCAGTTGTAACTTTGTGTGGGCATCGAGAATTTTTTCCATTTTTGCACAAATTTTTGTTCAGAAAAATGGAGTTGTGTCCACTGCGAACTTCTACTCCGATCAATTTGGCCCATTTTCAATAGCAACTTGCGCGCAAAAACTTCCAGTGCTTTTACCAAATTTGTAGCCGATATCTTAATTCTTGCGACAAAGATTGTGCGTACAACAGATACCGCACCACACAGACACACAGACGGACAGACATGGCAAGAGAATATTAGCGATGTGGTTATCTTACACAACCAGCTTTCCAGAACGCACACCGAAAAGAATTTCTATTAATTATAATTTTATTATTCATTATCAGATATTAGCTATTGACGAACCGTAGCGTATATTAAATCCAGGAAAACATCGACAACATCGATGGGAATTCGAGTGGTTAGTTCTGCCTTATAGAGGCAGGGAAAGGGAGAAACGACGTAACGTAACATTTCATGAAACAAAAGTTAATAATGAAAGGAACTACTTTGAGGGCGCCGCCCTATCAGAAAGGCATTGCTTACCGATCGTCATTTCTATTAACTCGACTATTGCACGATTGCGCGGCATTATATGAAAAGCTTTCAATTCGTTCGTATGCTATCGTATCGTTTTGAACTCATTTAAATTTGTTAATAAGATAATCGCATTAGTGGTTCACCCTTAGTGGAGAAGCCCGGATTTCATTGTGGCCAAATCTTAATCTATGTCTGAGTTGTGGTTGCCCAGCAACATTTCTCCGCATATTCTTTTTTTTCCCATTCTATGCGATACGGTTCGCTTATTAACTTTTAGTCGGTCTATCTATCAAATCTTAAAAATTAAAAAACATTAAAATATAAATTAAAAAACAAAACAAGTGAAATGTAATTATTCCTCCTCTCAGTTATGTATTTACATATTTAACGATGAAGTTATCTCTTATTAAACAAACAAACAAACATTTTAACCGCCATTTAATTATAGGGCTCCACCACTCGTCAACATTGCTTTACGATTTATTGCATAATTAGATAATGATATACTTATGATACAAGTATGTAAATATTACGGTGAATAGTATGCTAACGAAGCAGAGAAAACTTAGATGCTTTGCTTTGTTTGTCACGTCTGCTAAACGTATCTTAAAACAATCGCGAACAAAAATGTGCTAACGAGACAAGGATGCTTTGCTTTGCAATGTGCGCGCCTTGTTTGGACCGGAAAATAAGTCCAGTAAGGTAGGGCTTCGCCAACTAATTTGTAGAGCTTACAGCCCTAGCTATAGCTGGTTAAGGAAATCTAAATCTAAAACTTTGTACAGGGGATTTTACATTGATCCATAATTCCATAATAGAATGCGAAAAAATTCGCTTTAAAGGTAATAAGAATTTTTCATTCTTTGGAATTATTTTCCAAAATCTTTTTTAGAACTTTTCCCTTATAAAGTAAATCATGTTTTCTCAAGGCACAAAAGTCCTTAGAAGCATGAGCAGCAGGCGCGAATATCCTATTGCGAAAGACAAGACGCTTAACAGTGTTTTGGATTTACACATGGACATCGTTCAACAAAATTCATGCTACCTTTCCAAGCAATGAAAAAAACCGAATCGCCTGTGCTCGATATTACGTTTTAAAGGTTATCATAGAGTTCTTTATACTATAGTTCGTAGGGGGATCAACTGTACTCGTAGTAAACTCTTCTCAGTAAAACGGCAAGAATCTCTTAAGATTTTCTTTCTTTTTTTCTTAAATTGTGCGAGCTTTGGGTAAGTGCTGGCGCAATGAGCTGCGATTATGATGGCTAAAGGCTCTTTGGCCGAAAGGCTAGCATTTTATCTGTCCATATCTCTCGAAGCTAACAGTTAGCACTAACTCGACTTGTTTAAATGGTTTATAACCACAGTGCTTAAATATCGAAACGAAAAGCATTTACTTGGAACTTCTCTGCAATTATTAATTATCTCAATTACTGTAATTTTTTTATTAGTAACGTAAATTAACACTAAAATGCGGCATTTCGTGTAAATCGATCTAATAGTATTGGAAATGTTGAATATATTTTTAAAATATCGATGACAGGTCGCAGTTCACACGACAAGTCGTTATTCACAATGCAGTTAATCAATTGTTTCCCAATCGTGGATCGGTATAATCAAACCTTTGGCCCATCTGAAATATTATCAGCCGGCAAGATCGCGAGTACTCATTGCTTGATAGTTTGATAGCGTAAGGCGTTACAACGTTAACTTTTATATATAGCAGGGACGTGTAGGGAGATTGTTAGATTCATGACTGCACATCATAGACCTTACAGAATGTATATGAAGTCTTCAAAGTCAATTCAGTAACGTTCAACCCCGGCTATTAGTCGTATGTAATTGTAGGGCTTACAGCCGAAAAGAGGAAGAGAGAAGAAAGCATGGATATTAAATCAAATGCCAAAGCAAAATGGTTTCCGTCAGTGGTAGGAAAACTGCGATAAGGTAAAAACTGAGGTAAGGTAAAAAAATTTATGAGAGCTAAGAGTGAAAATGGTCCTGAAACGTCCGAAGCAACCAAAAAACGAAATGTGTGGCGTATGCATCAAATATGTTTCGAAGCCTCCTACTATTACAGCGTAAAAATATGAATATGACGGACCCAAAGACAAGCCCACAATTAGAGAATTCCATATTTAGGTCTGAGGTAATAGCTATCAAGAATTATTAGTCCAGCTGAGTAGGTTCGTCCTATAAGTCTTTGCAGAAGAATTTCTTGAAGCTCGCCGATAATTTTGCATCGTTTCGAACATACACTTATATTTCTTTTATAGCATAATAGTTTTCGTAATGAATTCATTCTTCTAACCAAAATCTTGAAAGACTTACCTTTAAGTTAGATAGCAAACGCTAAAGTGTAAATGGCATAAAAAAGGTGTTAATTTCTTCAACGATATGCACAGAATATGTTTGTTTGGGGCCACCATTTGGACATCCCCCTCTACTGTAATTGCATGCAATTCTTAAAATTCTCACATTTTCCTATTAAGTATAAATTGTTACTGTCGACTAATGAAATATGGCATTAAATAGTGAGCTCTGATTAATTAGGTGATAATCGTATGCAAATTTATAAGAAAAACATTGTTTTAAAAAAATTTTCCTACCTTTTTAATTTGCTCATAAATTTGCATTGGTTATAGTCGAACTTTTCTTTTGCCGTCCAGAAGATGTCCTCACAACATGAACGGTTCCTGCCGTTTATTTTCGTAATCATTTTCTGATTTAAGCGTGTGCTTCGCTTATCTATATTTTTCGTGTTCAACTTACGCAGAGATCACAATTTTCGAGACATGTTGGTAATATAGGATTCATTGATAGGATTTGAGTCAAGAATGAACGCTATTTAAAAGTGGATCGGATCAAATTAGTTACACTACTATTTTACCAATTTGTGGTCCAAAGAAATGATTTGATATATGAATTTGTGGTGCCAAGTTTAGATCACATGCGGACCCCTTCCCAAATAGGCGTACTTATGACAAGTAACCCTCCACATAGCAGCAAAGATTAATTTTTGCTATTTTCTGACGAAAAATTGGCGACGACGAGAACTCCTTACGTTACCAAGTTTTGATTACGTGAGTGTACGTTGAATCGATTCATAAGAACCCGCTTTACAATGGCAAGAATTTCTTGTTATCTTTTGGGTAAGGTTTCGATTGGTGTGTATATTCATTAAACCTATAACGCCAAAGTCATCTCGATGGCAGCAAAAAATTGTGGAAAATACCTTAAAAAAAACGCGAAAGTCCGTTACAATGATCTATAATCTATGGGTATATCGATGTAAAATTTGTCATGTCTTCGATTGCGTAACTACGAAGCTGACAGTTAAAGAAAAAAGTCGAGTGAATTGATAACATATTTATGAATATACGCCTATGTACAAATACTTGCAGACTTCGTCAAAGGATCCGACATTAAAGGAGCCGCACAAAACAAACACGGAGTCAGCAAACACTAAACCCGATCTTCTGTACGGAATTAACGACAATCCACCATGGTATCTAAGTATACTACTGGCTTTTCAGCATTATTTAACAATGATAGGAGCGATCGTGTCGATACCGTTTATTTTGACACCTGCTCTGTGCATGTCTGACGAGGATCCGAATCGCGGCCTAATCATCTCAACTATGGTATTTATTACCGGTATAGTTACATATTTTCAGGCTACATGGGGTGTGCGTTTACCAATTGTACAAGGCGGAACAATATCGTTTTTAGTGCCAACGTTAGCGATTTTGTCACTGCCTCAATGGAAATGTCCACCGGCAAGTGAACTTAGCGCAATGAACGAGACCGAGAGGCAAGAATTGTGGCAAATACGCATGCGCGAGCTATCGGGAGCTATAGCGGCTTCGGCGATGGTTCAAGTCATTATGGGTTACACTGGTCTGGTGGGAAAAATTCTGCGGTTTGTCACGCCGTTAACAATCGTTCCTACCGTGTCATTAGTTGGTCTAACACTTTTCGAGCATGCGGCCAAAACCGCTTCAAAGCAATGGGGGATTGCTGTAGGGTAATTATTGCTAAATAACTGGCCACGGAATAAAAAAGTTCTTTAGTGAACTCTAACCCGCGTTTTCTTTCTTCACCTGCAGAACGACAGCAATGCTAACCTTATTTTCCCAAATTATGTCAAATGTCTCGATACCGATGCCGGTTTATCGCAAAGGACAAGGCATTGAATTCCGACCTTTCTTACTTTTCCGTTTATTTCCGGTAATTGTCTTTTCCCGTTGTTTTTTTTTTCTTTTTTCTTTGTAAAGAGGAAGACTTATCCACGCTTTAAACGAAAGCATTATTTAACGCATTTTAGGTTTTGCTAACAATAATCATTATGTGGAGTCTTTGCGGAATACTTACGGCAACGAATGTTTTCGGCGACGGTCATCCCTCAAGAACGGACGTGCGTCTTAAGGTTCTTACAAATGCCAAATGGTTCTATGTTCCATACCCAGGTCAGTTTGGTAGCCCGTCGTTTACGCTTTCAGGTTCACTGGGAATGCTGGCGGGGGTTCTAGCTTGCACGGTCGAATCCCTTAGTTATTATCCGACAGTTTCCCAAATGGCTGGTTGGTTAATTAAAAATAAAGATTTAAAATACCTGTAAATAAGAAGAATTCCAATAGGTGCTCAGCCGCCGCCGCTACATGCGATAAATCGTGGTATTGGCACCGAGGGCTTGGGTACTGTTTTGGCCGGTCTTTGGGGCGCAGGTAATGGTACAAACACGTTTGGTGAAAATGTTGGCGCGATAGGCGTTACAAAGGTGCTGCACTCTTACATAGAAGAGAATCTTTGCTCAATTTAAGCATATTTTGTTCTTTCTTAATAGATTGGTTCTCGCCGGGTTATACAATGGGCTGCATTCATAATGGTATTACAGGGCGTTATTGGTAAATTTGGAGCGATTTTCATATTAATACCTGACTCGGTGGTTGGCGGCATATTTTGTGTTATGTTTGGAATGATTATAGCTTTTGGCTTGTCTACGCTGCAATACATTGACTTGCGTTCTTCGCGTAATTTATATATCTTGGGTTTATCGATTTTCTTCCCCATGGTTTCATGTAAATGGATACAAGAGCACCCGGGAGCAATAGATACCGGCAATAAAACTGTTGATTCCACCTTAACCGTTTTACTAGGCACTACAATTTTAGTGGGTGGTGTACTCGGTTGCCTTTTAGACAATATAATACCCGGTATGGAGGACGTAGCGTCTAAATCATTTAGTACTTGGCATATAATCGTTATTATTATTATTTTAGGTTCACCTGCAGAGCGCGGCCTAATTGAATGGGCGAATCAGATGCCATTGAGTTCTGACTATGTGAACGATGGAAGCTCTACTGATTACGATTTTCCCTACGGGATGAATGCACTTAAACGGTATGACTGATCCCGAATTCATTGCCTATTTTAAATAAGTTTTCGTTCCCCTAAGCCTGCCGCCACGGAAGGGCACTTCTAATCTAAATCTAAATTATACCTAGAAATAGAAGATCTTATGAAGTCATTTTATTTCCAATCGGCAGTAAATTTGGCGTCGAATTAGTCTGCCACGCCGAAAAGAATGCTTCAGGGATTTTATGGATTATTTTTATTCTTGATCATCGCAAGATGTAGACCCTGTCCGTGCGACCTTTAAAAATCTCCGATTCTTTTTCGCTTTAACGAGAAATGCATTTGCGGAATGTTACAGATTTCAGCTAATCTTATTTGTCCGTCAAAGAGAGTTTCTCTTTGTGTGCGTCCTGCTCCGAGCGAAGGTACTTTAAAAAGGTTTGCTTTAGAGATGTCACGGAGTTTTTTTTTTGTTCGCTTTCACGAGGGGACTTTGAAGCGAATTAACTCCGTTTTTCTGTCGAAATTTTTTTTCTGATTTTAGATAATTCTCAAATTCGGAAAGAACATGATTCGTTCACAATAAACCAAAAGTATTGAGAAATCTTAAAATTTTCGTAAAATATTAAATTTTTCAGAATTTGTTGCTAGCATTTAGAACCAAATTCGGGCTGAACATGTTTTATTCAGTTGCAAAAATTTTAGTTTAAGTATGGATTCCATTGAATTAATTCCGAAATAATCAAACAGCATTTTTTATCCACTTACCTTAGGGCGGCGGCAAGTATTTAAGGATCGTTCGAAAACGAATTGAATTTATTTGTGTTTATGCCTTTTCATTGTGTTTAACATATTGCTTTCGCTATAGTTGGAAATGGACCCATTATGTACCGTTTTTACCAACGTATAAATTGCAGACGGACAATCAATAAAGACGTTCGCGTTCATGGACAGGAAATGTCTACGTCCGAGGTAGTACGTAAAATGAAATTCTTTTCGAAATAATGTTTTTTTTTTATTTTTAATTATTTGTTTTAATAATATGTATATATATTTTTTTCTAATGTAAACACTAAGTACACGAGAGAAATGCTTAATTATTTGAATTATGCATGCATCGTATGCACACACATTTACATTCATGTCAGTATGCATGTGAATCTCGTATGCATGTGTCTATTGTGTAGGTATGTTTGCATGAAGACAGTTTTCCCTATAGTTTATATATTGCTTTGAAATGAAGATGAAAATTTAGAATCTTTTCCGCACATGCACGTGTACACAATTTTGAGATTTTTGTTTAATCTTACAAGATGTAAATGCTTTCACACACACACACACACCCACATGTATGTATCATTTAGTGAACATAAGTGCCCTTGATATTTATAGTCTTTTATTTAGAATAACTTACTCTCCACGATATTGATTTCAACGTAGCACCATACGTATCTTGAGATGTTGTTGTAAATATTTTTAAAAACTATATCAGGACCTATCTTCTGCACTATCTAGGAACGAAATATTTGTCAATTGAATTAAAATTTCCTGAACGCATTCTCTTTATCTACTGCCCAAGTATGGAAACCATGTTCTTCGAGCCCATTAGGATGGTATTAAAACATATCCTTGTCAAAAAAAAAAAGTTTTTGGATTTGTTTAGTGCTAGTTTTCTTGAAATTGAAGACAACTGTATAATCAATCAGTCGAGGAATATCAACTCTTCGGTGAGGGTCGAAAATCAGTGAGGAAAGAGGAAAGAATAGGAAAGCGGTCTTCATGAGTGTGGGTCCAATAGATAAGTCTTGTGCGTCTACCGACTGACTACGACCCTAACTGCGACCAAAGTAAACTCTAACTCATTAAGATATGAAGACGCGAGCACAGACTTTATTAGGCAGTCGTGATTCGTATCTACTCGACTACTCATGCGGATTGCAGTACTGACTGTACTTCACAGTGATTATGATATGAACTGATTAATGAACGCGGATGGTAATCCTCTTCTTTTTTATTCGTTTGTAACTTCTGATGTAAGTCCAATTTTCTTTTTTTTTTAACTATATTGCATTACAACTCTGAAAGCGGATTTGTTCGCAAAGGAACGAAAGGAGCTTTGTGAAGATATTTCAACCGACTGCTCGACGAATCTTTACAACAATAAAGTCGAATTATTGCAATCATGCGAAGACAAATAAAAAAGTGGAGTCAATATCAAAGGCTTAAGTGGCATGATTGTGATGAAACGAACAAACGACTGACATATCCGATGAAAAGGAAGATGGAATAAATCAAAGAGAAAAAATCGAATTATTTTCACACGCATCCTAATAAATATATATAGAAATAATCCACAAACTTTTGGTGTTTTCTTTGCCAACTCAGATATTTTCGGTTTACTAATGTAATGTATACATATATATATACATATGGAAGATGTGTTCTATCCTTTAATAAAAGAATAGAGAACACAAATTGGAACATACCTATCTACACATTTCCAAATAGCGATTATAATGATTAATTCACTAAAAACGAGTGAACAGTTTCGTCACACATCACATCATTACAAATTTCCATTTCTTTAATCGTTCGTTAGCATCTTGTCTTCGAATTATGTCAAGCTTCATTACAATGCAATTAGTGCCGTCAGTCTGCCTGCCTTTCTGTCTGTCTATACGAATACGTATACCTGCGTGCATGTTCGTGTGTGCGTGCGTGTGTGTGTGTGTGTATGTGTGTATGTGTGAATGCATAACAAACAGTTCGTTTAGTTAGCTTAAAAGTTAATTAATATTTAAATCTATAAAATTATAATTAAATTCTCAGTTCTTTCTACTTAACAATTTACAAAATTGCTTTTAAATTCTAGGAGAACGTATATATACAGTGGCGTAGCTAGAGTCGTATAGCTTAATGGCTTCATATCTTCTTAAGCACTCTTCTTCAACTTATATGAATAAATAATGAGAACTTTTGTACTGAATTATAACAACAATGTAAACTATTGATCTAAATTGCTTCATAAGATTAATTTAATTTATGTCAGATAAATTTTAGATATTATTTATTTAATTAAATATGTAGTAACAGGGAGACGGCGCTCCGACGTCCTGATTACATACTAGTTAAAAATTTCTACGATCAAAGGCATTTCTGAGTGTTCCCAGGGAAAAGAAAAAAAAAACATTTTAAAAATAAAAAATTATTATTGGAAAAGGAAAACTTTGAATTGATGCTTAACAACAACTTGAAACAAAAAAAAAAAAAAAAAATATGACGCGCCTTTTCTAAAATATCCTTCAAGTCAAAAAATCAATTTTTTCTCAATAGCATTAGCTATCGCTCAAGAAAAACTCCGAAATTGAGAGAATGAAGAACAAAAAAAAGAAACATTTTTGTAATAAATTTGCTTCAACTTGGTTTGCTTGCCCTCTTTGCGGTGCCCCCCCATCCGCCAACCTCCTTCTCACTCTCTCTCTCCCCTTTCCTATCTCTAGCTACACTACAGTATAGGTACATGAATACATTTGTTTATATGTATTAGGTAAACTATTGCATAACGAGTAATTTCTAATTTCTGCGAGGATATAAAATTTGGCAAAAGATAACGGAAAAGCAATAAAAAGAACTGAATTCGACTTTGTCCGAATCGTGGTCGTCGACCAATCACTAGTCACATAAATTGAAATAATTAAAATACTTTTTTTTTGCTTTTTTTTTTTTTTTTTTTTTTTCATCAAATGCAAATCCATTCACACCTTCCATGGGTGTAAGTGATTTTGAAACATCCCTTAGCAGACGGACATTATGCAAATGACTTGCTTTCTTATGTTAACTTTGAATATATGATTCGGATTGAAAAGTTTAAATAAGTATGTGGTGGTGGGTCGAAACAATACACAATTGTTATTGTAAAAAAGCAACGCAACATACTTTAATGATAAGTGAAAAAACTCGAAGCACTTCTTCCGCTTTCAAATGAAGGGGGAAAAAACGAAAAAAGGATGGGTGAAAAAAAGGCGTGAGGAAAGAATGATTCGTTTTCGTATAGCAAGCAGACTTGTATGGCTCGAAAAGTTACATCAAAAACGTCAGACGATTGCCAAAATTGATTTAAAATAAAAATCTATTATTGGATTTTTCCGATGGCGTTTTAGCGATAAGATGCAAGCGTTTGTTGCCACCGCTACCTCGCGATGAATTCGATGAAGATCCGGTGTTACTTCGTTTTCTCTCCTGACTGTAATAGCAAAATATGCAAAAACCGTTTTGCGGTGTGGAACATCAAATGTTGGTGGGACTACGAGTCATCGAAGAGGTACGATATCTAGAATTGGATCTGAAGAAGAAAAAAAAGAACGCGCTATTTGTCAAAATCCGTTTCAAGGAGAAACTATTCAAGTGGCATTAATTTGCTCCACTTTTTCTTTTTTTTTTTTAATATTAAAAGTTTAATAAATTTTCAAAGTTTACCAAGTACAGAAATTAAAAGCGACTAGGGTTTTTCAAATTAAAATTTTTGTAGTGACAAGGCCAATAAGAACGGATATGTATGAGTAGCAATGTTGGTTGAATTGAATTTTTAAAATATTCTGAAACTTACCTGGAAATGCTAGCAGAGTAATCACGCGTTGACGCACCCACAGCTGGCTCGCGCCGATAACTGCTAGACCCAGAAGAAGATTCCAATAGGGATATAGTTCTTTGTTCATATGGTCGTATAGGCCTACGGCCAACGGTTGCATAACCATCAATAGGAGACGTACTGGAGATATTGCCACCCATAGACAAAGTACCGTTTAGCGTATATGAGGATCTTCGCTTAGGATTATAGGTACCATAATAGGAATTCATCGTAGCATTTCCACTGCCGTTCGTTGTATTAATACTGCCATCGTATTGATTGGATTTGTTATTCCGTAAAGGTATCATTGAACTCGCGGTTAAGTAGTCGTTGTCGGTTACCGTTGAAGAGCCATAACGTCTGGACGATGATAAAAACGAAGGTGATGCTGGTGAACGAATATCGTTAAGGCTTTTCCGAGGTCTCCCTGCTGCTGACGAAGAATAATCATTACCACATTCTCTGCTGTTGGGCGCTTTGTAAACTGGCGGTTTCAGTTCTGTACCGATTGGGCTAAGCTTAAGCGGACGTAAAAATTCTTGCGTTATATCCGGCGATGGTTCACGTTCGGTCTCCTGAGCTTTGTTAGATGAACGCGATTTGAGCACAGCCTGTTGTTCACGGTAATATTCTCGTACAGCATTCGGTCCGACTATGCTACTTGCTCGTTTCGGTTTTTTCTCGTTAAAACGACTATAAAAACTGCGGCGCTTTATCCGATCAATCATACTCTCGTTTGGATCAGATATCTCACCGCATCTAGTTGGCGAAGATAGCTGCGACGTTCTGGAGAGTCGGGAGACCGTTGGTGATGGGGTAGCACCCTGTAGCATGTAATTATCTTCCGAACAAACTGACCAATTGTCAAAATACAGTTCCGGCTCCTCAGTTGGGGACAAAAATGTGGAATTGGAAACACAATCGTCTTGACAGCTACGAGAGTCTGACGAATAATTAGCAATGTTCTCAAACGAAGGCGAAATGAAATTATTATTGCGATTAATCTCGTGCACGGCCGATGCTCGATATCCAGATATCTGCGAGGAACTATTATTATTATTTGTAATGGAAGCATTATTATTACTACTGTTATTATTATTATTATTGTTGTTGGAGTTGGTTTCCATTGATTGCAGGCTGGAGCTATTATTCGACGAGCTTTGGCTAGTTCCGGGATATGGTGGTAAATTCGAATAGATTCCGTTAACATTGTGAGGATAATGACCTGTCTGCGATGTGCTGTAACTTGCTTTTGCTAGGTTATGCTCTGGCTTTTCTAATTTACTCAGATCCAGCATTAGATTTTTGCGTTTATCCTTATTGCCCTGTAAGATTTTTTCCTCCACATATGATGTTAAATTAGCGACGACGCTTGACTTGTTAGATAAATGCTGAGAATGTGCAGATGTAGCAATATTTTGAACACAGTCTGGACAAATTGTATTTTGTGCTAAAATACTGGAGGGCGTCTCTCCTTCGCACCGGCAATTTTGTAGTCGTCTCGTCTCCTCGGTTCGCTTGTTGGTAACAACGCTTACATTATTTATTTTACCAGATTGATAGTCGTTTTGTTTACGTGGAGTTTTCAAATTTTCATATATCGGTGAAGGCGAACACGCCCGTATTTGTCTCTCAATGTTGCTAGTCGAACGAACATTGCGAACGCGCCCTTCAGTACTGGTGTCCCTTTCGAACCGCTTGAATAAGCCTAAGACTTTATTCACAGATTTTTTATTGCAAGTGCCCGGCATTTCTTCAACACTGATTGCCCGTTTAATGTAATTAGACTCCGTCAGGCCAGAGTGAGAGCGCGGTATTGAGCGTTCGCGCAGCGATCGTATCATGGCATCAATACGAGATCGTTTATCGTTTTTCGCGGGCTTAATTGTGTCTATTTGAGTTCCACTTGGAGTTTTATCAGCCTTGCTTCCTGCTCGTTTTTTGTTAACCTCTAAAACGTTTTCATCGGTTGATAGAGATATCCCGCCAAGAGCTTCAACTTTCTTTTTTTTATGCAAAAGCGATATTTTATCTTTAATTTTCTCGGGCGACGAGCTTTCCGGGGAACAATTCTTCGGGGAAGAAACGGAGGCAGTAGAATAGCAAGCAGCACGCTTCTCTTTATTCATTGCAGAATCGCGCAGTTTTTCAAATTTTTGTCCAATTGCCCGCAGCAACCCTTTATTAATACGTTTTTCGGGCGACTTTTCCTTAACATGAATAACAGTCGTTGGGCTCGATTCTTTCGAATCATCGCCCGTGCTGGAAGTTGTTACAAGAGCGGCACTCGCATTTGCCGGCGTGGATAAAAGGGTTGTGCTCGGTTGGTAGAGTTTAGTTTTTTTAGGTATCTTAACAGCTTTTTTGGTTTCTGCAGTGCGTACCTCCGGAACAGGAATACTTTCAGATTTGACTTCTGCTACTGGTAAAGATAGTTCATCAATTTTCCCTATAGCTTTAGCGCTATGTACTGACTTTTTCAGATCCTTTGTGCCAGATAATTTTGTGGATGGATAGCTTTTCGGACGCAACAGCCGACTGTCTCGCAAAACGGCGTCACCCAAAGGCGTTGCCTTCATATTATCCACGCCTAAAAACTTCTCTTCAGTTGCATTGGAAGTACTTATTGATACCACTTTAGGTATTTCGGCAGCATTTGTTGAATTAGTAGTGGAATCTTTGGTAGGATACGACTTGGGGCGTTTTAATTTTGATTCCTTTTTAGCAGATTCCAAATCAATTACGCTTTCAATATTTTTTATCCGTTCTGGTGAGCTGCCGATTACATTGGGTTCATTTACTGTACCCTTATGGACTATTTCCGATCTTTTAACCATTTTTTTTATTTTCTTTACACCAGAACTGATTGCTTTTGTTTCAGCGTCGATTGAAGATTCGTTCAGTTTATCCTTAGTTTTGATTTTCTTTGATTTTTTTGTTGTGATTGGCATTTTATCCTTCTCCATATTGAACTCTTGAATGATTTTTTCAATTGCTGGCTCTTCAATGCGTTCGGAGCTGGGCTCGATTTCGTGATGTGAACGCATCGCGGAGAGTAGTTGCAACTCTTGGAGTATTTTGTCAGCCAAAGCGTGCTTATCCATTCGTTCTTCCGCGAAATCGCGCGGACGTGAAAGGCTTCGGCGTTGTTGTTTCTTAACATCTTGGGGTATATCTTTAGCGTTATCACGACTCGAATAAACCTCTAAGCTTTTATTTCGGGCATGGCGAATTTCAGGAAGTTTGGTTTCTTCTTTGCATAAGTCTGTGGAATGAACACCACGCTTGCGGGTTAGAGTATTGTCGCCCTCCTGGTTCTGAGTTAGATCGGAACTACTGGATTTCTCGCGTACGTCATGTTTTTCCATTTGTACGTTTTCGTTAGGATTTTCCTCAGGACGTTTTTCAAAGAAGTCCGATTTTAAAAGACGAGAAATACGACACTGCGAGGAACGTCTACGCAAGGAGTTAGTACCCCCTTCCATCAATGCATTTGGTGGTGGGGAAGTACAACCACTTGGTGGTCGTCTCAACGCAGCGGCGTTCGAAAAAGTGTCGTGCGTCTTTTGAAATGCTACAGATTCCGACTCTGCTTGCGTGTTTTTGGATGGCTTGTTCAAATAGGGCGAGTAATATTTGTATTTATCACTAATGTCGCTGGTGCGAAAAGTCTTACCAACGCACTCATCGCGACCTGCATAACTGCGTTCGCATTGTGAAGTGACTTCTTCGGGCATCGATATACTTGATTCGCAAGTTTGATCTTGACGAATATGACTTAAGTTACGCTTACTACACACTTGCTCCTCTTCGTTATCTCCTTTCACCTTTGTTTCAATTTTCCGTATGTCGTCAATGTTATCTTCAGGAATTGTTAGAGCTCCGCGACCACTACTTTGACTTCGTTTATATATCTTGACAACTGTTTTATGCGGGTTGTTCTGCATACTTAAGGTTCTTGACAGCTTTCGGGCTTGTGTCGGTGGCAACTTCGCCAATAACTGTTCTTGAAAGCATTTTGGAAGACCCGGTGTTATACTCGACAATGTTTCTAAATCTTTTTTGCTCAATCTTAACCGAGACAAGTCTAAATCGGCCAAATCTAAACGTTCATCGGCAACTGACTCCTCAGTCAAATTTTTATCTTCTGGAACAATTTTTTGTGCATTAATGTTATCTGATGGCTTACATCCTGCAAGAGAATTTAAGAAAAACCCGTTAGTAAGTTGAAAAGATTGCTTCAGGCAATTAAGAGTTTCACTCAGAAAGTGGTTAAGGTTGAAAGCATTGACCGAGGTACTTACCGCTTATTTTCTCTACTTTTAACATTTAATTAAATTTTTGTTTTTTTTTTGTTTTTCCCCTATAATATAATGAAGAATATTGCTGGACTATAAGGAGAAAATCTTGCTGGGTTCCTTTAAACGGGAAATCATCCGGGTATTAATCATAAGCATCCAATATATTTAATGCTGCGAAATCGCGAAAACCATTCCTTAGCAAAATAATTTCACCTAAGAAATGCGACGAGGAATGTTCCTCTCATTTTATTTATTTTTTTTCTAATCTCTACCCCCGCCAAGTAACTTTCTCTCTAGACTTTACAATACATTTACATACACATAACATACAATTGTTGAACTTACCTCTACGAGTTTGCTTTGAGTAACGCATTATTTCTGGATGAGTCGGTTATATTCGTCAAAAATGAACCATCGATTCGAGCAAACTCTGCTGCTTAGCATTAAGCAGCCACAGAGATTAAAGCCATTTCAATGAATTCATTTTAAGCTGAGCACATTTATTTGGCCAAAATGGATGAACTGATGGTATTAAATTATATAAAAATCATCAAACAATTTCTAACGTGCAACAACAACACCAAACACATGTTCATGTTCTCTTTTTTTTTTGTTTTTGTTTTTCTTTCATTTTTTGTTTTCTACAAAAAAATTATTCAAAATTTGTTAAACGATCGATCTACTCAACAAAAATACATACAAGAAGAGAGTACATTGGAATAATATAATTATGTAACACAAAAACAGAATACAAAAAGAAAAATTCATACATACAAACATTCGTCTTAGGCCGAATTTTGCGTACCCACCACTGGACATGAAATGACATGCGCTTAAAGGCCAATCCGACAATTGGAATGAATTGCTTAAAAACGCGGACACAATTTCAATAGCTTAATGTGCGATGGCCGTCTAGGACGTATCTAATCGAAAAACATGTCTGTACCATTTAACGGAACAACGGCGCCATTGCGGCATTGTTCAGGGCGTTAAAGTTTAATATTGGAAGCAATTGAGTATTCTTAATAGGAATTAATTTTCTTCGCTCTACACTTTTCTTAAGTTAAGTTTTATGCATCAAAGATTTATTAATTGTTTTTAGATTGCGAGAGACATAGACTGATTCTTTAAGAGTAGTAGAAAAATGGGATCTAGATGCGGGTAGAGTTGCCGAATCAGTTAACCAGATATGCTGAACGTGCGAAAGTGAAACATCCCAGACAAATTCATTCTCCTCACGAATTTCTTTAGAAAAAAGAAAAGTATGTCATAAACATTACTAGGGTCCTTCGTCATACGGGAAGAAGGTGACGCGAACAACATAATTAACAGAAAAAATCAAATGGGGCTGAGTTTGGAAAAATCCTCTTTGAGTTACCTCTAAGTGATATCAATTTGATACTTGGAAAAACTACTAACCACGCAATACTTGATTGTTAACTAAGCCAAATAGTAATAAGGACTAAGCCTAATAACACGGCATTGTGTTTGCAGACTTGCCGGGTCCAATCTAAATATAACCACAAAATATAAACCTGACTCTGACTACATAAGTTCTTAACACTCGCAATATTGGGTCTTGGTATAGGTAGCATTACTTCCATTTCTTGACGCTACAGCAGCCTTAGCTGTAAGACAAAACACGACAATGACACGAACCGTTTAAGAGTGGTGGGTAGAAGAAAGTATTAAAAAAGAAAAAGAATTAATGAAACACTTTATAAATTTGATAAAAGTTGAACCATAACTATATAAAAACTATTGAATATATGTTATAGATATAAAATATAAAAATATTTTCCATTTCGTTGTGTACTGGTCGGTTATCATTTCGTTTGATTTAGGTCAGCATTGTTGTTGATGTTGTTGTTAGAGTTACAACTAGTAAAGTAATGAGAATTGTTGGTGGAGGTACAAATAGGAAGGCGTTTTATATTATTATTAAAAACATGCATTTTTGAAGGAGCATTGGTGGTTAAGTCCACTGCAAGTAATCAAAAAAAAAAGTAAATAAATAAATAAAAACAACAAAACCGTAGCAAAAATATAAGCAAAATGTGAACTATTAAGCAAAAAATATTATATGAAAGAAAGAAGAAAAAAAAAAAAACATTATAAAGCGAAAAACATTTAAACAATAACTGAAATAATTAATAATAATAATAATAATAATGCGAGTCACAATGAAAACACTTGGAATATTTCATTTGAAATTAACGAACGAAATGATTTAACTTTACAGGGACAGAGAGGAGGAGAATGCATTTCAAGAAAAAAATAATAAATTAAATCGAACCACAATAAAAAGTTGCAGAAATTTTTATATAATTATTATTATTATTATTAGTAGAGCATCTGGCATCGTATTCAAAGTTTTGGACATTTTTTTTTTTTTTTTTTTTATTTTTTTTTAATTTTCTTTTTATTTTTATCAACAACATTATTAAATCAAAAAATAGTTTTCTACAATTTTAATTAATGACTCAAAATAAAATATATTATAAAAAAAAAAAAAAAAAAAAAAGTTTTCATTGCAGCAAAAAAAAAAGCCCAGAACTCAGAAATTGATTTTGATATATAATTTTGTTGATTAATTAATTACAGATCAGGTTAGTTTAAAAGTTAACGAAAAAGAAAAAAGAATTAGAAAGCAATATATTTGTCTGGGGTAGGGTGAATATTTATTCAATTACCCACCACCATCATCTATGGCAGCGAAAAGACATATGAATATTATATGACGTATGAGAGTTACTTATGAGGAACGCGTGCACAAACGTTTTCGTGTTAATCGAGGGGTGTCGTGCCACTTAACCGACATAATATTTTGTTTTTTTTTTTGTTTTTAATAAACATAACCAAAAATTTCGGTTTTTCTTTAATTAATTACCGATTGGGTGCTGCGTCTGTGTGTACATGAAATTTATTCTAAAAAAAAATTCCTTCAGCATAAAGATCCAATCATTTCAGTATTCAGTCAATCGAACCACGTTAAAGTTCTATCACAAATATGAAGAGATTCGAAAGACACCGACCCGACCGATGTGTCCATAAAGAATGAGAGAAAAATTTTGTTGCGGACAGACTGATATAGCGCTGATTGCTAAATGAATGAATCGTTAGTAAATGGAAGCAAAACGAAATTGATTTAACAAATACTGAGTTAACTAATCAATTATTGAACCGAACATTCTTGGGTTGGTTTGGTGGTTTAGTACGCTTAAGAATATATATGTACAATTTTCGTTTTTCTCAGACTTCCGAAACATCAGTTACAAATAAAAATTCAAATTTCACATTTGCACAATATGACGAAATCTCTCTTTATTAATTTATATATATTTATTTATATATATATATATATAAATAAGCAAATATATTTTTGTTTTTCACTTAGTCTTTTACTTTTCTTTTCTTTTCTTCTCTTCTCTTTTTTTTTTTTTTTCCTTTTTATTTTTCCTATTATTTTTGCCGTCAACGAATGTAGTCTTTGTAATCTGCATTCAACAAGCTCAAGTTTCGTTTGATATAAAAAAAAAAAAAAAACAGAAAAGATTTCCTTTTCTTTAAATAATCTAATGATGGACAAAGGTTTTTTTATATACGTATCCAACAATAAGCAAACCTGGGCGACGACTTCTTACTGATTAACTGAACTGTTAGGATTTTAATTGCAATATTTTTCAATTTTCTTAATCATTTGTTTCGCTGTTGCTTTTATATAAATTCTACTGTTTGTTCTTTTTTTTTTTTTTATACAATGTTTTGCATTTGAATACTTTTTGTATTTTAGAAACTTTGAATACGAGATTTCTTTCATTTTAATCTTTTCATTCTATTATATTATTTCATTTGTCCTGTTAAATTATAATAATAATCGTTGAATATTGATTTTTTCCTTTTTTTTCTTTTTTTAATTTGCTATTGTGTGACATAACATTCAGTTAATAATGGTAATAATAATGATAATGACAAAAAAAAAAAAAAAAAATTTTAAATAATAATAAAAACTCAGATGCAACACAATACCAACGAAATACTATTAAAAATTACCCTTTATGTATATACATATCATATATATGTATTAATATATATATATATATATATATATATATGTATATATATTATAGTTATTGTTTTCTTTTGACTTATTCCTCCCACTAATTGAAAAGCTCTTAACGTTGAAAGTCATAATAAACGTGAAAGGACCCGCTGATGATGTTCAACTAAAACGCATCCCAAGCAATGAATTAAGTTTCAGTTTCAGTTACATTTTTATTTCAATTCTGTTCTGTCCTCCGTTGGGTTTCAATTAATTGTACCTAGCAATGTGTACACTTGTTTGATTCACCCTTGTTAAGTGAGATGGTATCGGTAGAAACAGTATAGTCGCCCAGGCCGGACTATTAAGTACATAAATACAATTTATCCCGCATGTGCTTGTATCTTGTGGACTTTGGCGAGGTTCGAAACATAGGTCTACTTGGCTCAAAGAATTTCTATGCCCTTTCGAGCTAATTTCCACCATAAAATGTTTTATCATTTAAAGATTTACTTTTTATGAGAGACTTTATATGGCATGGAGTCCAAACTACGTCATGTACATGGTCCAAACTTGATGCAGTTAATTTTTATATCAAATTACTAAAATGGACTAAGTTCGTTCATGAAATATTAAGAACCAAACCTTTCTGCCTTGTGCGTACCCATTATTTTTAGTAAAAGTTATATTGCCGGGGGGGGGGGGGGGACGCTTAATAATTTGGCTTATGCTATTATACTGAGTGGTCGCAAAAGTGATTCGAGTGAATTTTTATCGAGTAGTGGTTGACTTTGAGCCGAAACAAGTCAGTATACCAAATTTCACTAATTCTCACGAATTCTGACCTGTAGGTTGAGCAAAAAAGTACTTGGACAGACTTTGGAAGGGCTAAATTGAATCAAAAATTGATTTCGAACCGATCTGTATAATAAAGAAGAAAGAGCTTCTCACAAGTCCTTTTCGTCTCCGACTTTCTGAATCTAATCGAATCGATAGAATTTGTGTGGCCGCCTATCTGTTCCAAGAAACCGTGTTTTAAAAAAAATGTTTGATAGGAAAGGAATTTTGCAATTTGTTCGAAATAATGATTTACAAGTCAATTCTCAAGACATCCTACCAAAAGAGAGTACCCAGGGAAAGTAACGTAAAAACTAAGTAAATATTATAGGTAACGAAATTAATAGTTCAATGCACTTGATGGCAGGCAGATGGAAAAGAAAATTACGCTATTTTAAGTTCGATTTCTTTTAAACACTTGCATCCTTAGAAAGATGAGACCTTACAACGATTTCGTGTTTTAATAGGCTTGAGAGGAAAGTTGATGATCTAACTTCTAAGTTCTACTACCATTAGTTGACCATTAGCCGATTTTGCCCTATTTTAGTTGGCGGGAATAAAATGAAACCAGTAACCTGCCCATATAAGCGATGCGATGATATTGAAATTTCAATTTGAACAGACTGACAGATAACCGATACGCTATTGGTCACATTAATCAAGAATAAATCTATATAATAGACTTTTTGATGCATATCTCTATGCAATCGCCGCGTTTGGAAACTCGAATGCGATGAGTAGGAAGGATGTAAACAAACACGGACAAGGTTCTGGCTTGAAAATTAATTAAAAGTGTTTGTTGTTTTTGCTTTGGGTTTTGTTTTCTTTTCAGTCGAACCCTTCACCAGCGCCCTTTCCGTTAGTATTGACGATTTAAATTAAAATTAAAAGTCAACAGAGCTTTTTCTTGCTTTTCCTTCCCCATTCTTTCTATCTTCTGCCTTTTCATTTTCTATCTCCTCTTTCCCTAGTTTTCTGTTTTTTACGCAGCATATACATTTTAGATATTATGTTAAAATTATTGATCTAGAAATTTACTTTTTAATCTGTGATATTCACCTCTTGGCAGTGTCGCCCCGGTTCGAGAGAACATCGATTCCATATTACTGCCGAGATCTCGAGACACACTATGGCGCCAAGGTGCGCTCATATTGTTGGTGGTATTATTAAGGCGGCTGTAATGAAATACCATAACCGATTAGCTGTCAATTTATCGTTCATATACATAAAGATTTCGTTTTACAAGACATGCAGAATAAATATGAAAATGTAAATACATATGAGAAAGTTTTATATCGTCTTGGGACGAATTTAAGATACCCACCACAAAGGTCCGAAGTATTGATTAATTAAATTGTTTGCCTTTTTTCTTAAAAAAAAAAAAAAAAAAAAAGAACGGAGTAATTGTATATCTAAGATTGCATATTCTCGAGAGGTAAAAAATCAGTCTAAATATTAACTTTTCGACTGCCGTCAAATTCTGCAATCAATTCAACCCAGATCATAATTCATCAGCGTTCCAATCTGATTTTTGACTGCGATAACGGGATTTGCTTCTCTTAAAATTAATATATTCTCTAAGGTATTTGAAGCGCGCGTAAATACAAAAATGACAAGTGGGGGAGCTTAGGAAATTTTCCTTTTTGGTTCCTTTTGTTTCTAAAAAAGATCGTCGATTACCGGTAATTGAAAATTATCAATCATTCGGCATCAACGGGAGGGGTACTTCAAACCTTCAAGCACACCAAAGCGCACACTCGTCTATGTAGAAATGTCGAAATAAAAAGGGTACCTTGTGTCAATTGTTAAGCAGAAAGAAAAGACTATTTTCTATGGCAAATATATATATACAAGTGTAAATGCAACTATGCACAAATGATTTACGGATCGGTAAGGTCCATTTGTGCTAAAACAAAATTATTACAACTTTATGTAACAATGGAGAGTTCGAATCTTTTATTTTTAGAATATGGCCTGAAAGGGTTGCATTTCTAAAAAAAAAAAAAAAAAAACCGATGATTACATTAATTGCAAATAGTTCCGTTATGAACCTTTTCTAACAGAACTCTACTAAATGAATGCATAAAATTCGCCACAACGTTCCTAAATACACTCTTTTTTAAGGGCACGACACGGATTTCATCAAAGGGTCTTTTTCATATGTATGACAGAAGCGAAGAGCACGGTTTTCCAACCAGTTCCGTTTTTAAACTGTCGTTCATATAACTTTTTCGAACTAATCTTTTGTTAAGCCCTCAAGTTAAGCCCTTTATTCAAATGTAAGCGCCACGAGTTTGCAGTCGACATTTCTTCGACACAAGACATGTAATTCCACATGTCTGTTCTGGTCTGTGTTAATTATACGATAGCATTTTATAAACAATATTTGTTAAGTGTAAGGCAAATAAAGCAGAGTAACGCAAGGCCTTTCTACCAATCCTTTTTTTTTTTTTTTTTTTTTTTTTGCAAGACAGGTATTTCCAACCGATTAATTGATATATTTAAGGAAAACTCAGGAAAAGGAAAAAAAAGACTATATTTGTATACCATGCGGTGAGAGCTCAAGTTAAGGTTACCACATTTGCCCAACTACTCGATGTACGATAACTCTATGCGTAAATTTTTGCCAATGCATCTATTGTACTTTACGAGTAACGAACACATACTCCAGAAAGTAATATATATTGAATTAGAGGCGTGTACTTTAGTTTGATCGATTTGGTCCACCACCAATCAGTACCAATCTGTCCAAATTAATGACGGCAATGTCTCAATTTTGATGATATCCCTTACTAGATTTATTCAACGAGTTTTAGTTGATGTCCCGATATCTTGTTCTAAAATGATCGACACCCCATTTTTACAATGATCGACACATATGTCTAACAAATAAGCAAACATTACGTATATGATGGTAGCTATTATGACGACTTACTAGCAGCAGCAGTTGTGGTGAAAGCAAAATAATATTTTAAAAATTCGCGAAAACAATCGACTTGAACGAGTGAAAATGCTCTGCTTCAAGCTAAAAAGCCTAGAAAGCGAACGAATAGAATTAAAAGGTGAGTTAACTAAAGAAACGAATGCTAACACATTTAATAAGATTAGATCGGATAAAAGTCGGGTTTTAGTAAAGGAATAAATGCGACAATTAATTAAGCTTTGCTAAGCTAACAAAACAACTGAAAACAACTCTCCCCCGTTTTTCAAGAGACAAAGTGTTATAGTTGTTTGCGGACATATGGCATTTGAAACATCTTCTGCGGTGAATTAAAAGCCGAGAGTTCAGCAAAAATAATTCGATAACATTATTAGTGACTAATGAACGACATTGAAGAAAAATGAAAATATCAGTAGTAGTGGAGAAGAAAGATGATGAATATATGTATATAGAAATGAAGAAACGCAATAGATATACATTATCATGTAATATGATCATACGTTACAATATAAGAACGCTAATAAGTTAACAAACATACTTACACGTGTTTTTTTTTCGATTGTTTGACTAAACGTGTAACTCACTTGAGATCTTAATTTTTTTTTGTTTTTGTAAAATGGTTTTTTTTTTTTTTTTTTTTTTTTAATAGTTTGCATATCCAAAGTACACGCACACACACACAAACACAAACAATAACACCAGTTATGTTTATGGATTAACAAACAAGAAGCGTTTTGAATGATTGCATGATAGATGGGTGTGCGTGAGTGTGTGTGCCGTCATATTGCACAATTACGATTAGGAAGATTTGTTTCATGTTACATTGTTATCATTATTTGGAATGAGTTTTTTTTTTTTTAGATTGATTGGTTTTGTTTCGATTGTTTGATTGACATTAGAAAGCGCAGCATGAAAGTAAAATGTAAGAAAATAAAAAAAAGAAAAACGCAATTAGTTCTTCTTCTACCTTCACTTTGCTATATCTCTCTTCCTTCTACAAAATTTTCCCTGCTCTTTCTATTTCTTATACTCTCTCTCTCTCTCTCTCTCTATATATATATATATATATATATATATATATATATGTTACTTAATGCTAATTAACGCTGTTAGTGGTATTAATAAAATAAAAGCGGAAACTAATTAAATACTAAATCGAGTGAATGATGTAAGCGTCGGGAGCGTCATGCTCCTTTCTATATATTTATGTATTATACAAAAATACCTGCTAAATGGTTCCTGATTCCAAAAGCTACTTTGCGCCTGCCTCATATTGTTTAATAAACGGTTTGAACTAGGAAAACCTGTCGTGATGTCATGATTCACATTTAAACGATTAGTCAGCGCGCGTACCTGAAACAAAAAATTTAATTAATTTTATGCAAATTTTCTCTTCAATTTTTGGAGGTGAATTAATTTTATGTATTATTTCAGCCGTGCCATTACTTACGCGTTGTAGAAGTGTTGAGAACAGATTTTCAGCTGTTAATATTTCAAAGCCATCATCATCATCTTCCCCAGAACTTTGTGAATCGTTGTCCTGACTTAGCTTCTTAATAGGTCTTGAACTTCTGCAAATTGATGCACGAACATATATAGATAGGCAAAAATCAAGCATTGCGTAGTGTAAACTAACCTCAATTTGTGTAAAGTAAAAGGTACGTCGTCATCGCCTTCACGATTTAAAGAAGTGTTACGTAGTTTCTGGAATGGCGAATTCTCATCGACTGAAGCCTCACTCAATAGAGAGCTAAAAGCAAATAAAATTTATATGTCCTTGTTATGTATGCAGCAGGAAATGGAAAGTATAGTAAAATCTTACCCTATGCGACGAGTGGGACGCAACCGATTGAAGGTGGAACGACTGGAAGTGATAGCGGCGGTATGACTGGATTCGGAGGGTTCTGCACTGCCTTCACGCGGCGTTATAAAACCGCCACCTTCAACAGCAATAGGTATAATAAATTCCCGAGGGCTCTTTTTAATCGGCTGCGACGAACCAGTTACTGTCGTTTGCGACATATTAGTAGTAGTCGTATCAGACTCAGAATCATTGGTTGATTGGCGCGACAATGAATCCGATCTAAACGAAAATTTAATAAACATTCATATAAATAAATAAAACAATAAAAATAATAATAAATTAATTAATTAATTTACATTTACATATTAGGGCTTTGGTAAATTTGAGCAAACCTTGACCTATATTACCTGATTTTCAAACTTCATATGAAAATTTTATCAGGAACATACTTATGACAAAGTCTTTGAAGTCACTTGAAAGTACAATTTTACAGAGAATTTACGGGAGATTGAATGTTTGTTTTTCTTTTGGTAACTATGAGCAGAAGCAATAAGATTAAGCTTTAGACAAAAAAGTTCGGCCTCTTGAATAAAACTTTAACAGTTTAAAAAAGCGGATAGAAGACAGGTCAACCGAAAAATGGTCTTTCGATGAAGTTTGACAAAAGCAAAAAGTAGGAGCTTTGCAGGTACATTCGCTCATGGGAACGCTGCAAGTGCGGAGTTAGATAGTGGCTTTTGAAGAAAATTATTTTGCGCGATTAGGCGCAGCCTCATCTGCTGTGTAAGTAAACAAACAAAATGATAACTACGAGTTCTACGGGCTTGGGTTGGCGACGACTTTTTTAAAAAAGCTGTTCATTTGATCGGTATGGATCGGCAGATTGTATTACCGAAAGTTGTCGACTGACTATTCTTAGTCTGCAATGGATGCTGCGGACGTGGACATTTGTTTTCACCGGCATGACACTATGTACCTCGCAACTCGCATGGTGGACTTGAAATGACTTGAAAGCTATAGGAAAATCACCTTGTAGTTGTATTTGATGTTGTGCGTATATAAGCCGCCTGTGGGCGCTGTATGGGTATGATGTGCTCTTTGGGTTCCAAACTGGCGGCACGTGTACTTAGCATTGATTTGATGGGACTATAAGGACTCGGTCCCTCACGTGCTGGAGCGCTGCGTAAATCTGGTACAGGATGTTGCATTTCGGTAGTAAAACGCATAGTTGGTTGTTCAACAATCCGCGGTTTAATGTCCAGCTGTATTTCGGTCTTTGCCGTCTTTCGGCGAGGCAATGTAGCCGATTTAAGTGTAATAGATGCAGTCGATGTCTTTACCCCGCCAGCGCCACCTTCGTTGCTACTAGTATTTTGGGATGCTGAAGATGAAGATTCAAAGAAAAGAAACAAAAGATCGATAGTAGGGATCAATTATTGCTAAGGTATAAACAAAGTCTAGTGCAGATAACAGCCAAACGGCTCGTTTGCTTAAACATGGACGGCATTGCTGCTATAAAAAAAGCATATCATTGTTAAGATGAATGGATGGCTGGATGGCTGGATGGCTGGATGGATGGATGGATGGATGGATGTGGAAATTAGAAAAAAAAAGACATATCTACGAATTAGATTTTCAATTAAAAAAGTTAATCACCAACAGAATTTATTCGCACTTATACTGGCTCGCGTCCTTTAGTAGTTCTAGTTGAGAATGGAATCCACCAAAATAATGTTAACTAAATGTAGTGCAACTGTAATTTTGAAACTTGTTCAAATAAGAGGAAGACAATGGATTAGAGAAAGCATTAGCTTTAACAAACAAGTTCAGTTTAACGGAAAGTAATAAAATCACGAGCACTTGAGCAATCAACGAACGAACGAACGAACGAACGAACGAACGAACGCACATCACACACATATATTTTGAAATAAATAAAGTAAAAAAAAAAAAAGAACAAACGAAGGAACGTACGAAAGAGAAACAGAGAGAAAAAGAGAGCGTGAAAGGGAGAACGAGCGAAACGACAACTAAACTTACATTTGAACAATGTCGTATGAGGTGCATTATAGAACGGTCTTGGCGATGTATTTGTGTTAAAGGCAAATTGATTGGCAGCAGAGGCGGTGGCTGACGATCCAAATGTTGATGATGCCAACAGTGGCTGCTTTTGCTGTTCTGTTCGTGTTTGTGTTGTTGTGGAAAATTGTGATGAGAATGATGGAGATGATGATTCTGGATGTGCAGAATTATGATAAAGTGATTTTGGCTGCTTTAATTGTTGACAGATTAGCGAACTTGCTGCATTTTTTTTCAGTACAGAATACGAATTGGGTTGCATAGAATAACTACTACTATGGCCACCAGCAGCCAAACGTTCCGCAATATTTTGCCGTGCTGCGGCGAGGGCAACGTTTAAAGCATTTGGTAGCTGTGTAATCGGAGAGAAAGATTGCAATTGCATACGTTGCTCCTGCGCCATATTTGATAATGGCGCAATTAAATGCAGCTGTTTGTCAACACTGTTGATACCCGCGTTGCCTCTAACAAACCCTAAAGAGCTGCCACTTGTGGCACGCATTTGACCGTAGCCCCCGCCGCTGTTGCCGAAAAATGATGATACAGTCGTAAAGGATGAAGAAGGTGGTGGTGGTGTTGGTTGTGGCCTGCGCAAAACTAAAATATATAAATGTACCAATAATAATGAAACGGATGCAAATCATGCATGTGTTTTTTTTTTTTTTTTTTTCTTATTAGAAACAACTATATATATGCAATAAATAAAAAAATGCTATCGATACACATATTTGTAAGCACATGTGCGACTCTGTGATGCCGTGACAAAAAAAAAAAAAAAAAAAAAAAAAAAAAAAAAAAAAAAAAAAAAAAATAAAAAAAAAAAAAAAAAAAAAAAAAAAAAAAAAAAAAAAAAAAAAAAACAATTAAATAAAAAGTAAAATAAAATCATCGACAAAGCGTACGACATTATATTCATTATTGTCATCGATAGTTTTCGATTGATTGGCTAGTTGTGGTCAGATATTTGGAAGCATTATAATTAGAAGCATGTTCGTTTGCCAGTAGTTCACTTACCCGGCTGTATTGCATTGCCTATTATGGCGCGCGCATTTTTTAACTTGCGTTCACGTTCGACGAATTTGGCCGGATTTGCTAAATCGCTCACGCTTATATTTTCTGTTTTGGCACATAGTTCGTTAACTACTTTGGAAGAATTTTCAGTTTGAGCCTGACGTAAAAGCGCAATGGAATTTTCCATGGAACGCCGCGCATCCTCTAGTGTTAGCGATGTAACAGAAGTTTTCGAATCACTTGTTTCCACATTTGATTCTTCGGCTATGGCAGCCGCATTATTGACGGTTGCGCTTTCGAGTTCTCCAGCCGCAATGTTTGCGCTCGCAAGTTGTTCTAAGGCTCGACGTTCTCCCGGTGTTGGTATTTGCGCAATCCCTGATGTTGAGGCTTTGCGTTCAAATTCCTTTTTAAAACTGCCAACGCTTACACCCGGAATAACAAATTTTTTAGGTTTCTCAGTTCCGCTTGCAGGGGCAGAATTTAATTGTTGAAATTTCTCGGCCGTTTCTAAGATGCGAGATTTTCGGCGTTCATTGTTCACTTTATTTGGAAGCGTAGAGTCATCTTGAAGACTACCTTTACGAGAGAAAGCAGCTGCTGACATGCCTGCTGTTGCAGTCTTTGTTAAAGAGGATTGATTTGAAGGAACTGGGTCCGTAATTATGTTTGTTTCGGGCGTTATTTGTCCTATTGCATTAACTAAATCGGCCGTTTTATGTTTGTTTACAAACTTCCTAATTACTTTCGTTGCGTCTTTCGCCCCTACCGAAGTCTCCTCAACAGGATCAAGCTTATTAGCAGAATTTTGTTGCGCTGCACTTGTAGGCTCCTCAGGTGCATTGGATATGTCCGTTCCTGCCTTTGAATTATTGTCCTTTATAAGCTGCTCGCACAAATCACTCACCATCTCCATATCCTTGGCCGAAAATGTAGCGTTTGACTTAGAGGTGGGTGCCGCGTCTTCTTCCTCAATATTATCTTCGGTCTCCATAAGAGATATTTCTTTGGCTTCGTTTATGAACGATGTACTCCCCGGTTTCTCCTTCTTTTTAATAGCTGCATTGTCCATAGAGACTGTGGTTGCTAATTTCCGCTTAGTCTGAACTGGGCTTTGAGTTGGTGTGATAGTGCGCGTCGGCGATGGCATTAGAGCTGCTTCGCCACCAGCTAAATGGAGTTTGTTTGGTGTTAAAGAGTAGAAAAAACAAAAGAAAGAAAGGGCGATAGGTGAGTTTGGTTAAATGTGGGTTTTCAAGTTTAGTTCACTTTAGTTCTTGTAATGACGATGATCCAAACAAGTGTATGGACAAGATCGTTCGTTTCTTATTTAGGGAGGAGGCTGAAGGTTAAAAAATGGTGCATTTGTCATATTTTTATCTATTATAATTTCATATTGTGTTAAATGTAAAGTAAAAAAAAAAAGACGAAAAATCAAATAAAAGACATCATCACTTTTTTCTTTCGCCTACATTGGGGAAAAATATTTCGGAGCAAATATCAATTTGCATAAATTACGAGTATATTGAAAAACATACCGGCTACCATATCCAGAATTCTGCGTTCCGCTTCCGTATTCGGTCCAATATCTCTCATGGAGCCGACTGAATGACTGCGTGGCACAGCACCTGTTTTACCTGCATTTCCGCTTCCGTCAGATGAGGGCACCACTAGCTGGTCGGCCGTCACCGCTGCCGGCGTTAATGATAATAAAACATCCAAACGAACGGGAGTTTGATTGGCCAAATCTTCGGCCAGTTCCAAGCATGAGACTGGATCATTTTCATTTACCCACCAATGAGAACAAATCTGTTCAATTGTCGCGCGCTTGCGCGGACAAACTGTTAACATTTCGCGTATCAATGCAGACGCGCGCGAGGGCTTCTTTGGCTCATAGTAATCGCCCTGGCTAATTTGTTTAACAAGTCTTTTAAAATTCGAGCCATCAAATGGCATTGAACCATAGACAAGTGTATAAAGTAGAACACCAAGCGACCAGCAGTCCACTTCAGGACCTTGGTATGGAGTACCTTCAACAATTTCGGGAGAAGCATATAAAGGAGAACCGCAAAACGTTGCCAACAATCGATGATCATCAAAAACATTCGATAGACCAAAGTCGGCGATCTAATACAAACATAACATGGAATAACATGGAAACGTTCGTAGTGACTTAAGGAAGACAGATAGATAGATACCTTAGCATTTCCCTGTTCGTCCAATAATATATTTTCTAATTTTAAATCACGATGGCAGATTTTATGTTTATGGCAATAATACACAGCCGTTGCAACCTGTCTAAAAATTCGACGAGCTTCTTCCTCACTTAAGACTTTCCGTTCAGACAAATAGTCGTAGAGCTCACCGCCAGCGGCAAATTCCATAACAAGCACCATCTTTTCTCGATTTTCAAATACTAAAATCAAAGCAAACGTAAGAAACGAAAAGTAAA